GATGCGCCTCATAACACTGCTTCCAAACGCCTTCATATTTGACAAGCATAAGTCGTTAAACATTCTTTCTCCAAAAAAATAATTTGCACTATGCATTTGTTGCTCGGATACTTCAAACCTGGCCTAACGATATCACTTGTTTTTTTAGAATAATTATCAACAAAAAAAGCATTTTTACTTTGTTGCTTGGGTGTTTCTCGATTGAAAGCAGGTTTTGCACGCTCTTTGTACAGAGAATCGTTTAGCAGATATGGAAGCCGATTCAGTTTTGAGGCTCATGTAGAGCTTTGTCTCCTATTTTAGAAGTTTGTGCTCACTAAGTATCTTCCCTTTGAGATGAAACTATTAACGTTTACATTGCGCCAACTTTTTTCACTCCCTAACATATATTATTTCGCCTCAGCTCGATTGACAGACACTGTATTTAATGTCAGAATACTGAAGTTTTTCTCAAAGTTTCGTAAATATTGTTGATAAGATGGGACGGAGGTGAGATAGAGCCAGTTACATCGCTTCATTGCTGCAAATTATCCTTGCCATGAGAATAGACGCAGTAGGCGCTTAATTTGACGGAAACACTATTGAAGGTACTGTTAAGTACAAGACTTTTGTTATTTTCTCAGATGACGTTAAACCTCTTACTAATCCTACAAACTTTGCACTCCTTCCTATAAGATTGGATAACTTCGCAAAAACAAAACATCAGCATTTGTTTTGAAAGATTTGAAGCAAAGAACAGTTTTGTCGAAAACATCTCTTCAACTTCTGACTGCCTCAGAGAAGTCAGGGTGAGCTGATAACAATTGTGATATGCTTTTATGGTTTCCGCTACACTACAATCTACATGTTGGACCTGCAGGCCCTGAGGCTGGCAAGATTCCAGCAAAATTGGATTTTTTTGCTTTTCTGGAAGAACAATGACGGCACGGTACTATTGGCTTGTTAAAGCTCTGGCTTTTGGCTTTTTCCCAAGCGCAAAAAAAAATTCTAGGCAATTGAAAGCTTTGACAGCAAGTTGTATGCCATTTGAGAGGAAAACTATTGTTTTACAGAATCTTGAAATAAATTCAGATTTTTACATTCAATTGTTTTCAACTGATGTAGAAATCTTGAAATAGGGATGTTATGACAAATAAGAGGAATCCAACGTTCGGATAGGGTTATTTGACACTCTGATTAAGGAGATTTTGGAGATTATTAAAATTTTGATGGACAGAATTGCACCGTAGGATCACAGTAAGTAGACGAGGAAGGGTAAGTATTGGAAATTTACGTTGAACTATCAAAGTTGATAAACGTTCATGAAAAACATATAAATTTTGTTTGACAAGACTTAACTGTAACATTACTGTAGTTAGACGGTGGAAAAAGCAAGTCATTTGCATTTCTCATAAGTTGAATAGTTGG